TGTTCAGGTGGCAAGTCATTTGACATTCCTGTAAATCCCATCTCGCTTGGGTTTGTTGCGTGCTTCCCAGTCGCGACAACCCCCTTAAACAAGATGTCAAGTTTTGCCTCGAACTCTGGCTCAATTCTGCACTGCCTATATTTCTTCGCTGTTGGTAATGCCTGTAACAAGCTTATTTAGGGGGATTAGTTTCTAAATAATTTGAGAAGTAATATAATTGAGAAAAAAAAATTAAAAAATTACCTCAATTTTCTCAGTCCACCATTCAGCTGGAGCATCGATCGTCCTTTTAATTGGATCTCATCCCAACTCGGTAGAGCCACGTTTCAACTCTTTCCATATTTTTCATTCTTTCTTCAATTGGTCCCATTTTTTTTTTTTGAATTTAAGCCTGTCGTAAACCCTACCAGTTAATTTTTTGAATCTCTGAACTATATTTTGTTAATCTTCTTTATTAAAATACGTAATTGGCCTATTCACCAGTTCAGTTTCTTTAATGCAAATATCGCAAAAAATATTTGTTATTTCTTTATCTCACATTGCAGATGGATCCCCTTCAGTTGCCTTAGAAATTTTGATACTATTTGGAACAAATTAAAATAAGCACTTTCGAAATCAAACAACTTTTAAACAACAAAAAGTCCAGAAATAAAAAACCACAATCAACATAATATTCACAACGTTGCAACGTATGAATAAAGAAAAATACAAATACACGAGAAATTTTAATGTGATTTGGTCAGAGAACTACGTCCACAGAAGGAAACCCACGTAAATTTTATTAACCAAATCGAAAAAATTAGATATATGTGCTACCAAAAAAAATACAAATACAAGTAGAACTATAATTCTCACATTGCACCTTAATTATAACATAAAACTATAACCAAATCGGAAGTGAAGTTCCAACTTTCAAGAGATACTCTGGAAGCCATGTTGATATCAATAACTTGTAATAATGATCAAATATCAGATTTTGTATGTACCTAAGCCTTCACTGTTATCTGTATTGTAGAAATATAGGTGATGTTAAACCAGTTTATGCTTAGATGGTGAGAAAAAAGGCCCATGTTGTACCAATTCTTCTAGCATTCGATTCGAAAAGAGGGGCAGAAACTGTAAGGAGCAAAACAGGAATCAAAGCAACAACAAAAAGTCTTAGAAACCAAACTTCAGTTGTTTATGTACTCCAATTATAGAATGCCTTTTTTTCAAATCAACAGTATGCCAACTAAGGGCCGGCGACGCACTCAAATGTCGCATGTTCTTCACAACGCTCAGAGAGTTGGCCCTCCCTCACAACCTCTGTGCCTAGATCGTCGTCTTCTTGAAAAAATATACTACGATAGATAAGCTTCAAGAGTCCCATATTATCATTCCGACAAAAGTTTTGCTTCGTTGCTTGTTCGCCAGAGAGAAAAACAAGAGACACCATGAGAGTGATCAAAGAAGGGAAATTATGGGGAAGAAAAGAAGAGGCTCGCCTTCAGTTCAAATTGACTCTTTTGGGGCGATTCCGGGAAGCACTTCACTTATGGGCATGGGTACCAATCGGACAATTGTAATCGTCCAGTCACCCGACATGGCTTCACCTGCAGTCCTCGCAAAGGCCCACAGTACGGTGGGGGGTCAAGCCTTACCAGTACCCGCCAATCCCCCGCCGTTCATGCGACTTTATCCTCAGGAGTTAACAGTGTACGAGGCGATTAGAACCATTGGTACATTTTTGCTTTTGGTCGAAATGGCTTTTAATTGTTATTTGCTGACAACTCTATCATTCTCTTAAGTATGGCAGATGACGAGACTCGACCAGGTTTAGACGGAGTTCTCATGGTGTCGGTCGAGGTTGGAAACAATTAGCCTATCAAAGAAGGTGGCATAGTCAGCCGCTCCGAGGATCACTCATTTCCGATTGAAACACAGAAAGGGGAGGTGTGATCGATCCAAGCGAATAGTGAGGAGTTTGCGTGTTGTCTGGCCGAGATTGAGAGCTCATTCTCTTATGATGTCGGTTTTCAATGAAGCTCAGAGGTTAGTACTATGTCGGCCCATGTGGCGTATCTAAAATAGGAGATTTCGACGATAAAGCAGAAGATTTCTATTGTTCAATAAGAGCTCACGAGTTTGCAAGAGTTGTCTCAGATCTCCTAAGCCCAGATTGAGTCTGATAGGTTCAACCAGCTCAGTTACGGTAGTAAATTTTTGTTCTGGATGCTGGTTTGATCGAGGCATGTCTCAACTGAGGCAACATCAAAATCGTGCATAAGCTTCTTCTCCGGGTGAGTCGGAGATATGTAATGATTTCCTGTAAAAAAAAATTCAAGTGAAATGATGTTTTCTCAATTTTCGTATTAATCTTTTCCATTTGAATTTTTTTAGGCGATCACTTCGAGTGTTGCCTCGCAACAGTTGGGATTAACCCTGACTATAAAAAGGGGTTTAATGGTTGTGAAGATACTTCTTTTCCTTTGTAACTCCTTTTTAAGCTCTTGTTTCCTCCTCCGGTCGAGATATGGCTCCTTGTCACCAAGAAGCAGCCCATCACATCCCTCGTCGCCATTCTTCTCGCGAGTTTTTTAATGACCCCACTTTCTGTCTCATCTAAGATGTCCTAAGCCAAAGTATAAGAGTGTCAGTCGAGCCGAGCCACCTTCATGACTTGCCATCCGCATCAGGCTCACCGCCCCACAAGAAAGGGCGAATATCTTGAAGGAGAACAAGTTGGTGGTTTAACAGGACCAACGTCGACTCGACCTCTGGTTCCCATTGTGTGGAGTTATGTCATTTTCAGCTATTATGGGGTCATCCTAAAGGTGCAAACGAGTTGAGTCGAGCTTGAGCTAACCTCAACTTGAGCTTAATTAATTTTATCGAGTTCGAGCTCGAGCATAAGTTTACAAGTTCGAGCCGGTTTATTTATTATAAAAGAGAGAGAAAAATATTAATTTAAGGTAGTGTTATAATAAAATGAGCAATTATGAGGGAAATAATAAGAAATTACTAAATATAAAATAAAAAATATTATTTTTTAAATATTTTTAATAATTTTGAGTAAATTTTTTATTAATATTTTTTAAAATGAGCTGAATCACTAGTTAATGAATTGAGTTGGGTTTAGCAGGAGCTTGGCTTGTTAGCTAATCGAGCTCCGCTCATGAGCCATTTATCAAGCTGAGCCAGAGCTGGCTCATAAATAGGCTTGACTCAATTGGATCCCTGCATCTAATATGCAACACAATTGTCACAAAATTATAATTGTAATTGTACCTTTCATATATCTTTATCAACCAAGCAATAAAAAGTGCCTTCAAATTCAGATTTGCGACCTCTAAGCCTTCAGACAGCACAATATGGAAGCACAAATTTTCAAAGAAGTTCTTCTTCCCTGGATAGAGTCCCCAAACCATGCACTAACTACACTTATGCAATCCATTATTAACCTAAATCACAAGGAAAGACAATGAACAAAAAAATAGCAAGCTCGGGAACACAAGATCAAAATTCAGCTAATGGCATAACCATCAACATCTCGAGTGTACATAAAATCACATTCACTTCCAATACCTCATCCAAGAAATTCAGTGCCAGCCTCAGTGGTTATACTTTAGCATTCATTAGAACAAGTAGAGGAAGCCTTTGTATTCATTGCAAAAGCATCAAAATTTGAGGTGAGGAGTTTGGATGGTGAGGGAGAATGAAATGGAAGACTTACAGTGTTCTTAAAGGTTGGCGAGGCATTAGTGTTAATAAATAAAAGTTGAAAGCCATAAAAAAGTTGATTTAAGCTTTAACTTGAATGTCAACAGCTTAACGAGTCAAACTTTTGAATGGAAATTCACAATAATGTAGATCCATTAACATGTGATTAGTGATATAATTTTTTTTTAATGGAATGAATTTGTTTAGCCTCGATAAATGATTGATTTTTTGTGAGCTCCATATATTTTTTGATTAATTCGAAATGCCAATGCTGCTTCGAAACAGTAATACAACATTATATAAATAGTATAATAATATACGTGGAAAATACGCATGCATCATATACATGAATGTTTCTATGCTTTAAGATTATATGCGATAATACACAAGTTTAATTAGACTAATAGCATAAACTTAGAAATCTTTTAAATTGTACACACACACACAGATTTATCAATATATTTTTTAAACAGCTTTATTTTTTAACTTTTTAAATTAATTAATTAAAAAATGTTTAAATTAAGAAAAATAGAAAGCATGATCCTTAATATCTTCTTCCATTTAGATTTTAACAATATCAAGAATGAAATCACAATAATAAAATGAATATTATTAATAATAGAATACATATTTATTTTTTATATAATTGATATAAATGAGGTGGCCTCATAGTTTATTTTTCCTATTTCCAGAACTTATATCCTATATCATTTTCTTAAGTATTTCAAATCAGTTTATAGATTCAAATGCAAGGGTAGATGTTAACATGCATCAGGGTTGATAGACAACTTAGAGAAATTAAATCCAGTTGGTTAAACAATAAAATTTTGTAAGGAATAACAATGCAAAAGATGTAATTGTTATAAATTATAATACTAAATTAGGCAAGCAACAAATCAAAAACTACTTGGTGGCAAGCCATTGAGTTGGCAAAGGCCAGCTACATACTAGGGCATTTACATAAATACCGTCCAAATCATATGTATTCACATATCTAACAAATACTTTTCTTTTTTACATTTATGCAGCCCAAAATTTTAATGTCACATAAAAAGATAACACAATTTTAACTTTTGAAAAGGGAAATACACCTTCACATGCATAGGTAAGGTGGTATGTATGCAAATATTGAACTTCAGTTGTTAGATATGTAAATTCATAGAAATGGAGTGGTATATATGTAAATCTTCCTAGAACAAAACATGAGAACAAACCTTACCTATGCCTGCATTTCCTACATTCGTATACTCTTTCTCCCTCGATCATCTTAACAGCACCAGATCTTATAACCGTGCCCTTGACAGTAAGAAGTATTCCCCTGTGCTTCACCCTCAACCTGCCAATATTCGGGAAAGTTTCTGCACGCTCTCCCAATTACCATTAAAACCATGCGACAAGCTTACCAGAATCTTCTAAATCACATTTCACCAAACAGGAAAAGAAAGAGAATGATATAATCACCGGGGCATTCAAGAGGTGAACCGGTAACATTGATACGAACATGGACGAACTCCTTGGTGCTCCCGCGGCCCTCGAAGCCATCTGATCCATCAAGAACAACCGTCTAGAAACCAGAATATTTGACTAAATAAAAAATCGATTGAGTATTCAGGAGGACAGAAAATAAAAATTTGGAATATGAACATTACCTGCGAAATGCGCGCGGCTTGATCAAAGAGGGGCAACAGGTCGGCTGGCTGAGAGAAGAGCTGGTAAGCGAGGGACGGATCGAATTCCAGAAGCTCCGCGAAGCTGAAAATATGATTTGTAAAATGAGGTCCAAATAGAAAGAAAGTGAGGGAGTGTGTTTTTGTAGGGTTACTCAATGGGGATTGAATAGTGGAGAGTGAGGTCATCGGAGAGAAGGATAGAGCGGAGGCAAGGAGAATGGTGGCTGAGGAGGAAGCGGGCGAAGGCCTGCACGACGTCGGTGGGAGACGTCTCCGGCGGCGACGGTGCGACTGCTTTCATTCTATTCGCGGGAAGAGAGCTTCCCGATAATTTCTGATTTTCCAGATATGGAAAAGAGCAATACAGGTTTATTTTTTATTTTAAATGATAAGTGATAAGTTGGAAATTATTTGATTCAACTTATGACATTAGAAAAGCAATTTCTTCCAACTACTTTAGTTTACAAATTATTTAAATTTTTCCAAAAAATAATTATTATGAAAGGGTTTGTGGACTATTAATTAAATAAACCGTAACACCAAATTCTTAAATATTTTTTTTCTATCTCACTCTAAAATTTTGATATTTATCTACATACCCCTTTACTCATGCATGAAAGAGCAATTTTTGCGTACGTTGTCGAGACGGTGTTGCGTCCGGACAACGGCCACAATACACTTGTTCGCGATTTTTTTTATCTCTACCGCGATCGGAAAATCACCGCCGTCGTCGGACACAGCTTTACGTCCGAACAACATACGCAAAAAATTTTCTGCATGAAAGGTAGGTATGACTTGTCAACAATCATAATTAGTGATAGTAAATAGTCGAGAGATTTACACACAATTCTTATGTGTTTAAATATCTCAGTCCTAAAATATAATATCTACATGTAGAAGACTCAAAACTTTTAACATCACATTAAAAATACCATAATTACTAGCTTTTTTTTCACGAAATGCACCTTTTTTTCTGTATAAGCATTGATGTGATTGTAGCACTAAAGCGTCATATATGCAAATATCAAAATTTCAGGTGTTAGATATGCAAATACATAAAAATTATATGATATGTATGTAAATTTCACTAAAATTTATCTGAATTTCAAAAACATCTAGTCATAAGTTTACCAGGGCTAAAGGTCCCAAAACAATACAACATGAGCACAAAAACATATCTTGATATAAAACCAAATAACATTTACAATAAAACAAACACTTTTGCAACATCCAGACTCACAAACTGCTAAACATCATAAAATACATGTTAAATTAATATACATGTAAGTTTACTGCTAAACAACACAGTCTAATAGCTGCTAGAACTTGCTCTCGACTGAAGAAACCTAATCAGATCCTGATAAGCATCGTCTTTCGCCTTTACGCTTAAGATGAAGTCGATATGGCCGTACGACTCGACGTAAAGTTGTTCGGGTTTGGATTTCAGTTCATTTATGGTGCGCTTTAGATCAGTGAGGTCTGCTAATGCATCACTGCCTCCATAGCCTATCAACAGTGGGAGAGACTCGGGGATATCACCCAGATTGAATGCAGGGGGTTGAGAACTGTGATAATGTTTTAGATTTTTCCACCAGCCAAAGTCATATTTTGCAAATGTGCCCTTTCTTATCACTGCCAAAAGACATTTATATAACTATATTGTTTAAAGAGAACTTTTTTACCAATCCATTTTTATCTGTAAGTACTGAAAACTTAACGTTCTATGAAATAACTAATGGAGCATTTACTTACATGCCGCACAATTCTTATGTACTTACATATCTAAACACCTAAACTCATATATGCATGCATACCACTTAAATCTATAGCATCACATAAAAAATATCATCATCACAGCCTTTTTAAAAGTGAAATACACATTTTCATGCATAGGTTTATGACATTAAAGTATTATGACTGTTGGATATGTAAAAACATAAAAATTGCGTGGTATGTATGTACATTTCCCTAAACAATAAGAATGCATTTACTGTAAATGAGAGTGCGCGCACAAAGATATATATATATGTGGTATGTATGTACATTTCCCTAAACAATAAGAATATGTTTACTGTAAATGAGGTAAATGAGAGCGCGCGCACAAAGATATAGATATATATATATTGGTCATGCCATAAACTGCAAAACTGAAAGGCATGGGAGATATCAGGTAGATGTGTTAAATATAATTGGTGCATTTACATACATAGCCCACAATTTTTATGTATTTACATATAAACTCTGAAAATAAAAGAGCCTAAAATCTGAGACCCAAACTTTCAGAGTTTACATAAAGAATTCCTGTAAATACATAGCACATAATTCTTATACATTTACATAAGTTTAGGTATCAGAGTTCACATAAGAATTCTTGATATTACATAAAAAATGGCCTAAACCCTGAAACCTAAACCACACAATTCCTATGTATTTACATATATTCTGAAAGGCATGGGGTGATTTTTTATGTGATATTTTTCATGCAATATCAAGAATTCTTATATATTCTTAAATCTTTTGTAACACATAAAAAATATCACTATTAACATTTTTTAAAGCGAAATATACCTTTTCATGCATAGGTTTATAGCACCAAAGTTTTACGTAAGTAAATATGAAACTTTGGTTGTGAGATATGTAAATATATAAGAATTGTGTGCTACATATATAAATTTTCCAATATAATTTCCTTAGAATACGAATGATCCATGTATTAGCATATATATATATATAAGAGTCAAAATGCATACTTTGGAAAAGATGGTGTAGGTTTTTTGTTGATGTTGAATGGGGCTCATATTCCAAATAATACTCCACACGAGATGCATTGAAGCAACAATTATCCCCTGAAATATATACAACATTAAGATAAAGTATGAGTTAAGACACATGGAAAGGGTGCATCCATAATTAAATAATCATCTAACCTCAAAAGAAGAAAGACTACAAGCAGACAGTACAATTTATCACAGCGTAATTGAGAAAGATGTCAAAATGGTTCCAGGACTCTTTGCAGAGTATTATTTTAGTCTCAGAGTTTATAAAAGTGTCAATTTTGTTTTAAGACTCTTTTAATATAGGTTGAAATAGTCCTCACTGAGGACTATTTTGGCCCTCCATTAAAGATAGTTTGGGGATAATTTAGCACTTGTATAAGCACTGAAATAAAAAATGACCTAACGTAAATAGTCAGGGAACTATTTTGGTACTTTAATCGAGTGCAATTTATGGCTTCTAATTTTTAATAGATCAGAGTATTGGGAAAATATATGCAGACATGAGAATTTTTTAAACTCATATAGGCATTAATGGTTCAGCCAAGTGGTTTTAAGCGGATTAGATAACCAAAATTGCCCTTACAATAGACTGAGAAAAGAAGATCAAAAGCAGCAACTATAACTACATTTTACGAAATATAAAGTCAGAAAGATACATTTTAGGAGGATTTACATACATAAATCTCAATCCCTATGCCTTCTACATATCTAACATCTAAACATCAATTTTTAAATATATGCCACTTTAGTCAACATAGTGGTATTTTTTATGTGAAGTAAAAAATTTAGGTGTAAAAATTTTAAAAATGAAGTTCAGGTGTTTGATATGTAAATACATAAAAATTTTGTGGTATGTATGTAAATGCCACACCAAATTTCAAGACCAAGAATCTTCAGGAGAAGTAGAACCCTTCTGTGCTTATATTCCTCTAGAAGTCGCGAATGCAAGTTTAAAGTATTTAATATTTACTTATCTCACCCAATTATAAAACCTAAGCCAACTTAATCTAATTACATTCTTTAATTTGCTACAAACCCCATATATGGTAAAAAGCAGAAAATTACAATTGCAATTGGCCATAACATAGTGTAGTGCACTTCCCATATTATTTATCGAGTAAAGCACAATAATAATGTTACATAGTGTGCATTATGTTCTAGTGCATAGCATCCATAGCGCGTGCCATTTTATTAATTTATTTGTCGAGTTTATTTCAACTTATTTCTTTACTTGTTGATGTATTTTATACTCATTATATTTTTTTTGTTTAAAACTTTTTACAGATAGAAGGGTGTGGGAAATCAAAGAAATTATTTGTATTTCACTTGTTCTCTTGAATTGATCATACAAGGTATTATATAGGAGATTAAATTAAGGTATTATATAGGAGATTAAAAGGAGAAAAACTAGGAAACTATTTAACTATTTCCCTTAATTTAAGGGATTACAAATTTCTTCTAATTTCCTTAATTTAAGAAATTTACCAATTAATTCTAATTTCCTTAATTAAGAAAATTAGAATTAATTCTCACAACTTTGTTTTCATCTCAGTCACATCTCGACACTCCCCCTCAAGCTGAGGAATAGATGTCTTCCATTCCCAGCTTGGATACAAGATCATGGAAACTTGAACTCCTTTGTTAGACCACCGACTAATTGTCTTTCTGATGGAACATAGGACATACACACTAACCATTCCTCCAGTTTTTTTTTTTGATGAAATGTCTATCAATCTCAATATGTTTTGTCTTATCATGTTGTATAGGATTATGAGCTATATTAATGGCAGACTTGTTGTCACAGTAGAGCTTCATAGGACCCTCCCATTGGATTCTCAATTCATCCAAAATGATTCTCAGCCACAGTAATTCACATAATCCTTGAGCAATAGCCCTGAACTCTGATTCTGCAGATGACCTTGCCACCACATTTTGCTTATTGCTCCTCCATGTCACTAGGTTATCTCCAAGAAAAGTACAATATCCTGTAGTTGATCTTTTACCCACTAGGGAGCCAACATAGTCAACGTCGGTGTAGGCTTCCAGAGTAAGAGTGTCATTCCTTTTGAACAAGCTTCCTTTTCCTAGATTGTCTTTCAAGTAATGCAATACCCTGTAGGCAGTCTGAAGATGAGGTTCTCTAGGATCATGCATGAATTGACTGATCATACTTACAGAATATGTTATGTCTGGTCGAGTGTGAGCAAGGTATATGAGTTTGTCAACCAATCTCTGGTACATACTTTTATCCACAGCTGGTTCTTCTTTAGCTTCTCCCAACTTATAGTTTGGATCTATTGGAGTAGTGATTGGCTTACAGCCAGTCCTCCCTGTTTCTGTCAATAAACCAATCATGTATTTCTGTTGAGATATGAAGATCCCCTGTGTGGAATATGCCACCTCAAGACCGAGGAAATACTTCAATTTCCCCAGTTCCTTGATTTCAAATTCTTTTACTAGTTTCAGCTTCAATTCATGCTTCTCTTTCTCATCATTTCCAGTCACTATGATGTCGTCCACATAGACTAAAAGA